GGGGGAGGGAGGGATAGCGCCAGGGGATCATTTTGCAAAAGTGCGTAGTCCAACAAAGATACCAACACCGTTTTACAGTTGCAAGGGAAACATGAGGTCAATATTGGTAAGAGTAGGTAAACCCGAGGTCAGGTAGCGGGACTAGACTAAGCAGCTGTTACAATCAAATTCGATGTGACGCCATTGATCAAAAAGCTGTTCAGGTACCCACATTTTTTCTACTCTCATGTCTTATTCTTTAAATAGATTCTGATTGTCATATGGATATAAATTTTTTGAGGAACAGAAGCAGAGGAAACATGCCATCAAAGCTCAGACTTCCGGTTAAAAGATGACGGTAAATAAGCAGCAATCTGGCCTAACCTAACACAACTTGGAAAAAAACACCAGGGCAAGTTTCTCCGCTCATGACTTCTACCAACTCCTTCCCTTTCTCATATTGAGCAGGAACTTACCGATTGACAGCTGACAAGCAGGAAACGTTGAACTCGACCGTACTCCCTGATGGCATTCAGTAGATTCGTGAAGTTCTGTAAGGCATTTCGTGCACCGCTAGTAGGAGATCGATCAATAACGCTCTGATCTCGAGCCGTGCAATCGATGACGATATCCACCTGAAGACTGATAATATGGTGTCATAACATTAAAGGGACTGTTTCTTTTTAAACAGTAACTCACAAGATTTGCGAGTTATAGACAAAATTTCAGCCTCGGAGGGGATTCGGACTCATACTTGCCGTGTGCCGTGCTCCATCCCACGATAGTGTAAGGGATAACAGCACGGTGAAGGATAGCGCAAGTTCGGGTTCGAGTCCCATCGGAGGCCAAAGTTTTGTCCATGACTCGCCAACCTTGTGAGACTTTCGGAATGCGTATTGCAGCCATATAACGGCAGTTAACAGAACATCGAGTCTGAACGATTAGTCCTCAAAACCTTTTTTCATTGATCATCAATTTCAAACTAGCGAAAATCAGCTAAAAATCAAAAAATCGGCATGATAGAAAGAAAAAACGGCTCAAAAATCAAACGAGCAGGGAGCGCAGCCCTACTTAGTTCCAAAAAATATACTCGAAAGTATTAGGACTACTGTAATGCCATTCTTTTGCCCTGATAATCTCTTGATATGCATGAATAATCCATCTTTTCAGAACTGGTTGGTTGTCTAAAAGCCCACGTTCTTATCACTCATGGCAAATTGACTTGTGGTTGTCCAGTATATGTTTTTAAGCTTTTTTTAGGCAGTTGGGAACCCTTGTAGGACACAATCACGAACTTATAAGTGGAGAAATAGAACTGACAACTAATGTAAGAACACGGAAGACTACGTAGCGGAAGAATTGAAGCTGGTGGGTAAACAAGCATCAGCCGTTATTTCCGTTCTATTCCTTTTTCTAATTGTAAGACATAAATGAATCATAAGAGGCATAAATTTTCGATTAAAGCCTGTACTTGAGAATGGCAATCTGCTCTCCTACTTGAATAGAAAATATGACTTTTCGAAAGGTGTAATGAAACCAATTTGATAAATGAATGAAAAGAACTCGCGGAAGTCGTATTTGCGTGTAGGTAACTTTGTTTATTACTGCGTCGCCCTGGTTTAAAAGATACGAAAAAGTGTCAATAAATATCGAAAACTTACAGCTTTATCCTTGAGAGTATGGAGAACAAGTTGAGCATTTCCGACGTCACCGATAACCAAGTCGAAACGATCCGATTCTCGGATGCGTTGCGGAATCTGCAGAATTTCAAATTATTAAAGCTAAAGATCAGTATAAAAATCCAGAACAAGATTTCTTGCTGGCGTCGATCGATCGTGGCCTATAGTAAGCCCCGCATTCATCTTCCATTCAGGATTGTAGGGGTTTATCGAATGCATATATAGCTTATACAATGACTTACTGTAACCGCCTATGCACGAGTTAATATTCCCTTTCTCACAAATGGGACTGGTGCCATTCAACACGTCCCCCAGAGGAACAAAAGTCTTGATAGCCTTGGAGTATGTGTTGCAATATTTTTTGGAGATTAAAATCGCCTGCGTCTCCAGAACTGGGTAAACCCCATATTACACATGGAGAAACTTAAATACAGTATTCTCTAGATGACGTAGATGTCGATCGCACATAATGAAATAAATGGAGTAAACTGACCTGAAGAATATCTGTTTGTCCTACGAGGTTATCAAGTACAGTGATCTTATGTGGAGTGCTATCGTGAAGATGAGTGATAAGTGCTGATCCAAGGGAGCCCAGACCGCCAGTGACGAGGTAAGACATCTTTCCGAAGATCTTTTCTCCTCTGTAATAGGATCCAGTTTAACACTGTATGAGCAACAACAATAAGAAAGGTCAAGCGAAGACGGAACGATGAGGTTCAACATGATTTCTTTCCCCATCACGATGATTGCTCTCGTCAGGAGAATTTGTGATTCAAATCATAAAGGTTGAAAGTTGACAAACAGGAAAAAATTGGAAAAGTGAGGATCTGCTTTTTGTGGTCTGTCAAGTGAAAGTTGTCTTTACTACTAGCGAACTGATCTAGAAGGCACCTCCCCAGGCACCTCAATCGAACAGGTTCCGAATGAGAGCAAGCGAGAGTAATGAAGCAAGTGAGCGGTCACACTCTGCGATGGCCTGTAATACCGGTCAAGTAGAGAAGACAGAGAAGGTGGCAGATAGGAAGAGAAAACAGCAGTGCAAAGGCCTTCTGTGGATCTTCCACAATGTCCCTTGACATGAGTGTTACCCGGATCAGAAGCTCTACATAGGAACGCTTTCCCAGAAACCACCGAATCAGAGAGTTTCTCTGTATGGCTGATTCTGCTTTAGGGAACAGACTAAAGTTTGCTGTCATTGTAGGTTTTCCACAATTAGACTGACTTACAGGAGCAAATTCCATCAGTGTTAGCTTCTTTTTTAAAAGAGTCTCTTTCATGATAATCAGTCGCCTTTAATTGAGTCAGCCCACCCATAAAGACAGCAGACGAAAGACATAACGACAGGAAAGACGGATACGCCCCGCATTCGACCTCCCCTCATAATCGTAGTAGCGCATTGAATGTGTATTTGGCCTATACAATGACTTGACCAGCGGATGTACAAGTAAGTGCTTTTAACCACC